CCCCGCCACAGCCTCTGCCACAGCCCCTGCCACAGCCCCTGCCCCTTCTCAACTCCCCGCCACAGCCTCTGCCAAAGCCCCTGCCACAGCCTCTGCCAAAGCCCCTGCCACAGCCCCTGCCCCTTCTCAAGCCCCCGCCACAGCCTCTGCCACAGCCCCTGCCACAGTCCCTGTCCCTTCTCAAGCCCCCGCCCCAGCTCCTTCCGCAGCCCCAGCCCTATCCTCACCCCCTTACTCTTCCCAAGAAGTGGTTAAGTAGCAGAATTCCCTAAGTTAGCCTGGTTGTTTTTTGTCATTCGTTAAGGAAGGTATGTGACAAGTTTAGCTTCTTTGATTCGAAGTAGCACTGTAATTATAGTCAGGCTAAAGAGATCTGTGGCCAGAGAAATCTGTAATAGGTTTTTTTTGTGTCAAACGGGTCAAGAAATAACCCAAAGATAACTATAGAAACTGGATTTTTAACTAATTGAGGTTCAAGGTTGAAAAAACGGATTAGTTAATCTGTGTGGAATAAGAACCCAAATTAGAGAAAAGCAATCAAAGACATAAATTGGAAAACAATGCTGCAGGAAAATTTAGAATGACTGCAAAAAGCCAATCACGTATGAGATTGCGATGTGTTACTGTGAAAGGCAAAACCCCAATTTAATGCCAAGCCTCATTCCTCATCCCTGTCAGGGTGGTATTAATATGTACGTCATTCAACAAATACGCCAGGGCTGTCAACTCTACCTCATGCTACTAAGTGAAAATCTAAGAGAAGAAGAATGTATCCTAATGGAAACTGCAGCCACCCCTTCCTTTGCAGCCAATAAATCCACCGCTGTAATGCTGTGTGAGATAGACATTAATTAAGCTGCAAAGCTGCTGAACAGTAGAAGTGTACCATGTTCCTGCTTCAATTACCTGGTAATAAGATTCTACAGGAGCCCTCTTCCTAAGGAGCGTTTACTACACAGTTACAGTTTTTCCTTGTTTCCTAACAGCTCTGTACTTCATTTATTACATGCAGTCTCAAGTCTACACTGAAGACAAAAGGATTTATCTTCTCACATCCATTTCTCTGAGGTCTGCCACCACCTGTTTCACAGGCACTGATGAACATTATTGTCAGGGTATGGTGCCCATTACACAGCAACTGAGCAGAGATGGAAAAATTTAAATCTAAACTGATTTTGATGCCCTAATTGAGATCACTAGGGTTTGGGGTTTTTTGCTAGAATATCTAACATTTCAAATGTTTTGTCACCTAGGCAGGAAGCCCCAGTATCACAGTAGTAGCCTTACCCCCACCCATTTTTAGGAGTAGGCTTTTGTTTCTTTCCTTCTCTGTTGTGTCACTTTCTATCCCTTTATTAGCTCAAACTTTCTTGATTAGCCTTGGGAGCCATTGAGAACCCTCCAAAAATGGTAATTTCTGGTTTTGGACCACCAGCCACTGGTTCCTCCAAATCAATACACCTGCTGCATGAAACTGTCACTGTATCACTCCTGCTTCAGCCCGCAGCATCTGTGGGCTCAGCAAGCCTTCATAGCCGAGCACTTACGAAGACATATGGAAATCAAAAATGTATGCTGCATAAATACCCTTTGGAGCTCTTACACAATAAAAAGCTTTTTATTTTTTCCTGCAAAATCAGGTTTCACTCAGGAGTATAATCTACTTGATTTTAAACTGCTTTTAAAATGAACAGTACAACAGTATTATAGTTCCATGTCATTTCCCTGGTTTGGGTCACCGAGGTGCCGAAGCCTTGAAATAGTTACAAGAAGTTATCTGGGTTTAGGCACTATACTGTTAACTACATTCTGCCCATCTGTCAAAAAACTATTAAGTTAGATGCAAAATAAAGATGGATATGCACTAAGCAATGTGAATCAAGGTTTACAATCAAATATGCCAGATTTTCAGAGTCTTACTTTACTGACTGTTTTAGGACTGTACTAGTGCAATAGCCACTGTAATATTGTGTTATTTTAGTAACTGAAATATCAGTGAAACTGAACGAAAAACATGACTCATGACTTAGAAGTAGCTGTTTCGGAAGAGTAAGTGATTATACAAGTTCAAGGTCTGTCTGCATGGTTTGGATCTGGAGGAAGCCACAGGAGATTACCTAGTCTGTTTGCTGGAAAACATTTGTCAAACCTTTTCTTCAACAGCTCCAGTGATGAAGACCCCAAAACTTCTGCAGACAAACTGCTTTAATGCTATGCTCTCAAGGATCAGAAAAGAAGTTTCATCACTATCCTACCAGTGAAACATTTTCATAGGAAGTATGATTTTGCATCATCATGACACTGCCCTTGTTCAGTTTGTGACCATATTCAGGACAGATATTGGCCTCATTTTGTACAGACTGGATAAAATCTCTCCCTATTGAATTTTGTCTTTCTTTTTACCAACATTTACTCCAGTTTGTTTTAATGATTTTGAAATCTTTAGCTAAGATACAGCTGTTTGGCATCACCTATAAATACAGTATGCATTCTCAGTTTTCTATTACTGGTGAGAATGTTGAATTGTGTCAAGCCTATGCTAGATCATTCATCTTTCATTCAATTCATCCTTCCATAAAAATTGTATTCACTGAAAAATAGCTTTTGACTTTGTTTCTACACCGATTTTGTACTTACTCTACAATAGATTAACACATATTGTTTAATTAGCTTTCTTGTGAAAGTCATAAAAGATAAATGTTCAATAAATACCAAAGGAATGTTTCCTCACTAAGAGAGATTTCAAGAAAATGGCTAAATACAGTGGGAGAACAACCAGGGTGCTTAGAATTAGAGGAAATACATTTCTGAGATTTTATTTTTCCTGTTTATAAAACATGTAGAAAGGAATGTTGTGCTCTCGTATAGTGTCTGCACTTGCTACAGCAGTAAAGACTTTCAATGAGTTAGCCTTCCTAAAAAAATTAAAAAGCACAAGTATTTACCAAATCTGTCCATTTGGTTCTTGTGCTCACTCTTCCTTTCAGAAAAATAACTTTACACTTCAGGTCATGATGACTGTTCTTTTGTTCCATCTTTCTATCTGAGTATTTAATTGTGTATCTCATAAATACTTGCATATCTTATAAATAATTGCATATCTTTATAAAAAATAACTTTTTCTTTCACTTTTTTTTGCCAGTGAGTGGTCAGTGTTGTCATATATTACTGAAAAAAAAATTTAAGGTATGTGAAATAAAATAATTCTTTTATCAGTTAGATATTTCATTTTCCTTTGGAGTAGTGGCAGGTTCTGCCCTCTAGCAAATAATGGAATGGGAATTTCCATTCCCTGGTTCATCTAATGCTCCAGTACACTTGAATATACAATGCTACTAGCATTAGCTGGGTATGTTTACCCTGTTAAAATAGCAAGATGAAGTAGAAGTACTTTTTAAAAAATTCGTAAGCACTGAGAACTCAGCAAGATACTTTGCTTACTATGATATACTCTGACATGCTATTTAGATTTTCCTCCACTGTTTATGATTTACAAGAGAGAGAATGTCTTCCAGCAGATCTTTGATTTTATTTTGAACTTCTAATCTTAGATAATCTAGGCCATTGCAACTTGATTAAAGACACAGTAGCCTCTGAGATCCTGATTTGCTTTGGGCTTCAGATACTTGCTCCCTGACAACTGTCTGTCAAATCTTAGGTGTTCTGATAATAGAGTCATGCTGGAAACAAATATCAGGATGTTGTTAGCAGGTGGCAAACCTGAGACATCTCTTTCTGAAGTAGAAGATGTATTTTAAAAGACCCAGAATGGATGGAGGTGGGGCAATACTTGGAAAAAGCATCATATGCACTTGCCTGAAGTTAACACTTCCTCAGTCATATGCTTTTGTCTGCAAAGAGAAGCAGTCTCAATCACATTAAGGGGAACTAAACGTTCCTCAGTGCCAAGTAATTCTGGCATATTCTGAGTTGGAAGAAAACCACAAGAATCAGCAAGTACAACTCCTAAGAAAATGGCCTGCTGTATGGGTATTGAAACCACAACTTGGTGTTATTAGCTCTGAACGACTGCTAATCTCATCTCCCTGACCTAGTTTGTTCAGTTTCAGCCTGGTTAAATTTTTGTGCCATGTAATTTCAAACCTGTGGTGCATGACTATGTCTATTTCATCCATTTCTATAACTCTAAACTATAACTATCTTGACCTACTTTCCTGCTTACAGAGAGCAAAGCAAAATTATGTAAGTTGTGCAGCTTGTCCCATGCAAGGCATGACTATTTGCAGTATTTTATTAATTAGTTTTTACTCATTTTATCAGGGACAAGTTATTACATAGTTTTTTGTCCAGTCCCTGAAGCCAATATACATACATTGTTTACCATTTTCTGACTTGCTAGGACTTTCAGTTAGATATAAGAACATTAGAAGCTATCAATCTCTTCAAAGATTCATGTGCAATCTTAGCTGCTGTCCAAGTGATATTTCTATCAATTAATCCCAGTGGATATTCTTTGAGGCTCTTTTAAAGAGCTATCTGTTCATATTCATGTTGTGAGTTGTCTTAATTTTTTTCGTCCAAAACTGCATGACACAAGAAAAAGAGAACAGTGAGGAAAGGAGGCTGCGCCTTCCATACAGCGTCAGAGACAAGTCAGTGCACATTATCAGTTGGTGCTATGCCTGGGTGGCACATCAAAATGTACTATTGCAAAATTCCTCCAGTTAGAGAAGAGGTTTCATGTAAGGGAGGCCCTGATCTGAGCAATTATCACTGCTTCACCAGTGGTGAATGTAACACTGTTACTCAATGTCATCTAATTTGTCCTGGAAAATTTAATCTAGTGAGAATTTTGAGGTCAGAATCATAATGAAAACAGTGAAAAATGAAAAAATGAAATCAAACCAAAACCACCACCACCAAACAAACCAACAATTCATTTCCAACTGTCTATTTGTAGAAGAATTTTTTTAAAATCACCTGCCAAAGGCAGGCACTTTAAAAAAATTTCAATAATCGGATCTATGTCTCATCTCTATCAGCCGTAAGTCTTATCTCCATCTAGTGTAGGACTTACTAAGGTGAGAGCTTAAAATTATTTTGTGATACCACTTGATAGATGAAGAAAGTCTATATTGTCTTTCTCTTTCAAAGTGTTATGATTCCTGAGCTGATCTTAGCTTAGAAGATTTGCAGTGGGAGTAGGGCAGAATGTAAATGAAGTGGAAGCTTTTTGCATATTTTTTCTTCATTGGACAATCATGGAAGAAGTCTAAGAATAGAGAAGGTGGCAGCAGGGAAGAAAATGAAAGTGATACGCAGCAAAAAACAATGTAATAACCTCTCCAGCTCACCACTCTAAACACTGGGAGAATTGTATCAAGTCTGCATCCTGTGGGAAGGAAGCTTATTTCTCTTCTTGCTTGACACAAAACAGTCTGTGACAATGACACCAGCCTACTCCTGCGCTATGGGATCGCAGTAATGGGAGCCTCGATCCATCACAGGGTGACTGAGAGTTTTCCAATGTTACCATCAGAATATATGTAAGTTTTACTGATCATAGTATTTTTCTAAAAGGTCTGCATTATCAAAAACGTTAAACTATAGCGCTGGTTAATTGATTCATTCATAAAATGTGTGTAGAAGGCAAGGGTGACATTGCAACTACGTCTTTGGGATATTAAAGGAACAATATTTCTTATTTATATTCCAGACGCTGGACACAATGTATTTTGTATGTTCTCATGACTTTGAAGTCATTGCTAGGGAGCTGACAATAGGGTCTCCCGAGAGATTGTGGAAGGCCACCTCTTTAGCTTCCAGCTTTTCCCTTTCCCATGTACAAAATGAGGGAGTTGTAACATCTGGTCTTATATAGGTGTTTAATGCTTTTAAATAGTTTGCTCTCTCAGTTTGCTTGATTTGAGGTAATTCATCTAGATTTTAAAGCACAAAGTAAAGGAATGGAAATCTGCTGTCTGAAACCACCCAAGAACATGTGTGTCCAACACTTCTTTCCAAAATCCTGCACTTCAGTTTTCCCTTAGGTTTTTCATTTGCATTTTGGGTACAGTTCACATTGAATAACTTTAGCTGGCTAAAAGGCAGCAGTCTAATGAAAGCTATTTCACTTAGTTTGGGCTGTGGCAGGAGTTAATAAAAATAAATAGATGATTTCTTGGTCCTCCTATCCATCTTTAACTCTTACACTAGGAGTAATTTAATGAGTGCCTATTTCCATCACCAAGAGAGGAAGTTTATACTTAGGTAGATGCTTGACTTCAGACCAACTGTGATTAGGTGAGAAAATCTCATTCTGCAAAACATATGTGCATATCCTAAATTATAAACTCTGTAAGTTAATGAGCCTCAGTCTTAAATGTAGCTTTCTGCCTAATTATAGTATTTATCATAATAAAAATTATAAAGTGACTGCAGAATTAACCTGAGACAAAATACTATTAATAATACTCAGTCCAAAATTAACCTAAGAAAAAAATGTCTTCACTCCCTCCAGACATACAGGTACATTACTTCTGCTTTAAAAGAACAAAAACCCTAAAATAAAAGATAACAAAAAACACTCTCCAACATACAAGTATCTCTTAAAATGCTTGCATTTGCATGGATTATGAGAGCTAGGCACCAAAAAGATTTATTTCAAATATCCCCAGTCATTTTTTTCAGAGTATAGCCTCCAATCCACAGAGATTTTTTCTTTCCCCTTTGTGGGAATACAAGATAAAGGCATGTGAAAGCAATTTTTCATTGAAAATTGTATAGTGAATATGCATGAACCAGAATTTTCTTTATTTTAAGTTTCACAGTCCAAATGCAGCTGTAATTTGCATCATTTACAATTTTGCTATAAATTGACTTGGGGCATCTGTCTACATTATAACCAAAGCAGGCAAAAGATAAGTAGGAAAAATGGAAAACTTCTAACATAATTGATTTCCACCAAATAACACTGTCTCTGGTTGTTATAACAATTGGTTTATCAATTTAATGTTGATTATGGCTTTCCCATCGAGGAATAGGAAAGGTTGCAAAAGAGCAGTGCAAAAGGATCTGGCACTGTTGCCACTAGAGCTGATACGGTATCTAATACATATGTTTACTTTTCTTTAAGATATTTTCAGACATGTTAAGCAAAAATCTGGCTTTGCAACATAATTCTCCTTTTACAAATTTTATTTCACCATGCTCTGGCTAATTTTATCCTCTGGAGGCATAAATTTTTGCATTGAAAAATCTATTTCCTTCAAGCTTGTAATTCAAGTGATAACAGATGCTAAAGACAGACCAAGAAAAAAAAAGATTAATCTCTCAAGAGTGTTGAGAAAGCAATCAACATGGTTTCTAAATAAGTTAATAAACACATCTTCAAATTTCTTCATAAGAAAACAGCTTCAAGAGCTCAGTGAATCATAAGATAGGAGGAATCCATTCATAAAGAAATGGGAACTTAAGTAACAAACCATTGAAATTAAATTGATATCTTACAAGGGATTTTTTTAAATGCTTGACCTGCATAAAGTACAAATTTAGCTGCGAAGAGGGCATGTGGCATTTCTAATAATCTGTTTATCTGTTTTACATTGCATCCTACAACATATTTTATATGCCTTGATTAATTTAGTGTTGCATATATCAAAAAACAGAGTGTCAGTGTCTCATTTAAATAACAGAGATTACAAATATGATTTGCCAGTAAAATAATTAATGAAATCACTGAATCTGCTTAGGAATATTTTTTATGCAAACTGAAAGTGATACTAATAAAGTTCAGCATGAATATTGGATATTGGTAGCACATAGTGGGATTGCTTTAACTTTAACCCTTAAAAAACCCAGCACCACCATAAGGAAGCTCATCCTACCTTAGGTTTGTTTTCCCTTTCAGATAAAGACAGATAGTAAAGAGCTTTTGCTAACCTATTTTTAAGCATGATATTGAATTTCCTTTAATGTAACTATCCTAATTTTATGTTCCCCATTTAGGTAGGAGATACACACCTTCAAAGAGGAATTCCAATTTACTCTAGATCACCTCCCCCTATTTCTTGTACATCTTTTAAATGACCATAGAGGAAACTTATAGAAAGTCTTATCTTTGGTCCTTTCCTTGGGTAGCTGAGGTACTGATGTCTGCTTTGACACAAGCTACATGTTAGACTTTTTTTAGCTTTGATCTTAAGTCTTTTACAAAAATATGCACATCCACAAGGAAAAAGCCACTATAAAACAATAAATAGAGAGTGAAAGACTGTGGAGGTTAATATATATCACTGCATATAGATAAAGTACTTATGTATACCTACTTATATATAGTATATAGTCTATATTTGTAGTGTATAGACACTATATATATTCTCACTTGAGTATTATATATATACACACTCTTTAAATAATTTTATGTACTCTTTTGTTTTATAAAATATAATTATGTCTAGCTGTGTATATCTATCACTTTGTGTATTATAAATATATATAGCAGTGAAAAAAGAAATAAACATAAATATTTGAGAAAAATAAAAATATTTCATTAAAACAAAAAAAAAGCTTGTCCTGGAGATCACTAAGTTCTCTTCCTGTCATTTCTAGTGTACTGACACAATAAGATGGAGATAGTGGACTGATGTCTCATTTCCTCCTTTTTTTTCAGTTTTAAGATTAAAATGGAAGAAGGAAGAGCAGCCTCCCACTTCCTGCCTGATTCTAGGAATGTAGATCAGAAACAGCTGACATGCTGATTTCTCCAGAACAACCAGTCCACTGAACTAATTCTTTCAATAAATTTTAAATCCTTGAAGATTTTGAATACTTTCTTCCAAAAAGCATATGCACCTTCGTCTCCACAGACCAACTGAATTTCTACAAAGCATGTGCTGTATTGAAGCCTTTTTTCTCCAAGAGATGTTGAGATCTGTGGTGTCAAAAAGCTGTTTCCACAGCTGCACACCTGGGAGCTGCCCCTGGCTGTTCCCCTCAGTGGACCCGCCTGTTGTGCAAGTGGGAGTGATTGCTGTTGGAAGCCATCAGATGAAGGATCAAACAAATAAGACCCACATGCTGGGATCACTTGGTGGCAACAGTTCAAGGCGTGGGTTGGAAGCAGTACCTGCTCTGGGCAAATATGTCACCTGGCTCAGCTTAAGTTTGGCCCAGTTTCTTCTGTGTTAGCAGAGGATGCACTTGTACTCTTTATTTTTGTTGTCCTCTCCTATGTGGGGCAGGGGGTTATTGCTGGTTGAACCAGACCGCTGAGAGGTACAGTTAGAAATTATTTTGGCAGTCCAAGTAGGATCCAGCTGGGTTTGTACTCCAAAAAGCCTGACTGATTTTGTCTCAGGTGATCTGAAAACAGCTCCCACTTGCACTTGGTGACAGAGACATAGAACTAAAAATATCATATAGTTCTTGTATAGCATATAAGTATGAGTAGTACATGTGAGTGGAAGAAGAACATGGTGGTTTTGGAAGAATTGTTAAGAATCAAGATTCATGTTTAGAGAATATTTATTATTTAAATCTATTTAATTTTTAAAGATCTAAAGGTACTGCAACTGTAAAATAGTTCAATCATTATGACATGATTGTTGTATCTAACAATTTAACTATTTTTCAGTTGCAGTACCTTTATATTTTTAAAAATTAATTCAATAGGGATCAGTACTAAAATCTGGATCTAGACATAATTGAAATTTTCAGAAAGGCTTAGACATTCATGTGGTATAGTGTCACCTCCTGCAAAACCAATTTAAATGTTTATAAGGTTAATTAGTCTTCAAGTTTTAAAATAGAAATGATCTGGTTGTTGAAATTTGGAAGATTTGCCCTATATTCATTTTGGAGAACAATTGTTTCAGGGGTTGGGATGAGACCATAACTTTGTTGTGGCTGTTGCTCTGATCCTATGTTTGTCTATGTTTTGTCAGTAGCATATTTAGAAAGGTAACGTATACAACTCTGTTTTGCATAGATCTGCAGTGACACAGGTTTCATGCTTTTTTATCTAAAAATTTACTACACATACCCAAGGTTCTCCAGGCACCTGTTTTCTGGTGACATCAAGAGGATTGGTTGTGCACACCTGTGTGGACTGAGCTTTAGTTTCTTTGACTTTTACCTAAACACTCCTGTGAGTGTTAGACTTCATAAAAGTGCGTACTGCCATGCTGGCAACAGGCATCTGCTGGAAAGGAGCCTGCCTCCGTCACGGTAATGTTTCACTTGGGGATCTCAGTGCAGCAGGAGCCACAATCAGAGTAAGCAGTGCCTTCTCTGTGCTGTCTGGAGAAGAGACGTCCCATCTCCTGCCCAGAAAACAGGGCTGGTTGCATGAAGCAGATAGGGGGATGAAGCACAGTCCATGCAGCCACAGGACATGATCTGCCCCCTTAGGAGAGGGTGCAGGTTCCTGGTGGTTGGTCATCCAGGAAGAGACTTCAGGACAGTCTGTGTGGTCCTCACCATCACTGCTGTCCCTGACAGCACACTAACATTTAGTACATTTGTAGTTAGTACACTAACATTAGGGGTATACATTTGGTAGGTACAATTTCTTCATTTTGTGATACCGGTACATGTCCCAGTGTTTACTGTCATCCATCCAGTCCATGTGCCAGGGTGACTTCTACGGGTCTATTCACCAAGTAAGGGCTGAAAAAGCAATGCTGGCACAAACTTCTCTTCCAGCAGGCTGCTGCTGTATCAGGGCTTGTCCAGAGGCAACACTGTCTGTAGAAATGGTGTTGACTAGGGGGTCTGGAAGAAATGCAAGTGCACTTCTGGTACCAGTGCTTTTGCATGGGTGTTCAGGCAGCAGGACCTGTGAAGGCAGATGTTTGCTGTGCTCTGCAACCTGATACAGGTTGTCAGGTCCAGGCACTGACTGTTCGTGGAGAAAAGATGAGGAAGGCTGAGCATCTCACAAAGAACTGGATTCTATCCCTGCTTGGCACTCTGCTCCTGTCCAGGCTCCAGGAAATGTTGTAGCAGGGTCACTTCCATCCTCTCACCAGGCACAGATGAGTGGATGGGGATTGAGGAGGAATGGTGTATCTTGAGGTGCTGCGAATTTTTGAGCGTGTATTTATGGCATACTGAGGATACAGCTGGAGCATTCAGGAGGTGCCTTGAAAGCTACCAATGAGAACATAGGGAGGTGTATAAAGATATGATTATTTGCTTAGTTTTTGCATATACAATGTGGGATTCAGGGTAGAATTTAAAAATATATAATACATATTTATATATGATCTTAACAACCTATATCTCTGATGTTCTGGCAGAATACTTAAATGCTGTCTTTGTGTTACTTATTTGATCCAAGTATCAGAATATTCAAATAAAATCAAATGAAAAATGTTAGTGGATTTCTAATTATGACTTCAGAATAATGAGAATGCATTATGTGTTTTCTGGTTTTGAGAGTAAATGTTTCAAAGTCATGTCTCTTAAGAGATCCTGAACATAAACCATCAGCATTAGGAAATTCCCATACTATCTTTTAACCAGAGTATAAAAAAAAAAAGAAAATGCTATTTTGGACTAGTGACCTTTTTGTTCTCTTATAACCGCTCTAAGCTATTGCCCACAATATATTTTATTTTGCCATGTCTGTATGTTGACATGGAACCTATTATTTTAGATGAGAATGTTACTTCTGAAAAACATTCATCGGTTTCAGTCAAAGGATTTTATATTATTCTTTCTCAAAGAAAAACAATGTGTTGGCTTTCATTTTTATCAGACATTTATGTCGAACCTGACATAAGCAGCAGGTTACTTCATTAATTCAGTAATTTAAGATACATCAACTTGCTTTTCTAACAGAGGTGTTGACACTACACTTGGTAACACAGCTTATATTCAGAACATACTTCAAGGTTGTCACTCATGTTATTATATTTTATATTCTTAGACTTTCTTGTAAAACCTATGGTCTGAAATTGTGAAATCAGAGCATATTTTGTCCTACATGTGGCACTAGGTAGACTCCCTCTGGTGGTAAATTCCAACCTCAATTTAACAGGGATTACCATTTCTCTATATTGGTCAAGTAGCTGCAGTGGCCAAGAGCTATGTGCACTAAAACTTACTGTGAAAGTAATATGACTGGAGCCTGTCTTTGCCCTACTTTACAAAGTGGGTAACAAAATTCACAAAGATGTACTACAGAAAAACGTAAAATCTGTGCACCCCCTAGATAGGTAAAAAATGCTTCTCACATTGTCCATCCAAGAAGATGAGCATATGAATGAAAAAAGGAGTAAAAATAACTTGCAATATTGAAAAACACAAATCTACTGAATCAAAGCCTTTGCATGTTACTGAACTAAAACTCTAAGCAGTTTTTGTCTTTAGAAAAAACATTTCCCTTGATAGCTTTGAGTAGTTACCATAATATGCATTTTCAAAGACCCAACTGCTTCCCAGGAAAGCTATCCAAAACTGGTGAGCCAAAATACCAAGATGATATAAAGCTGATAACACATGTCTCCACCAGTCCTTCAAAAGTGATTTAGTTGATGAAAATTCAGGCTTAATAATTCTGCCTTTACCCTATAGATAAGTGAAAAACTGAAGAAGGATGAAATTCTTAAATTAAGGAACTTGAAAATTGTCTACTAGAATTTGAAAAAAAAGTATCAGAAGGAAACTATGAAACACACAAATGCAAAACAAGAACTAACCCGTAAGACAACAAAATATCATCTGCACATTCATTATGGATTTATTAACAGCAGCATTTTACATAAGGCATGAGAAAGAGATTTTTATTTTTTTTACCTAATGTTTAGGCTCTGGGCCAAGAATATTATGTGTCTGTTGAGGACAGTAAAAAAATGTACACTGACTAAAAGTACTTCAAGGAACAGCAACAAAAGGATAAAAAATTAAATTACGTAATCTCTGAGGAAAAACTGAGGAAGCAGTGAAAGATGTGATACTAATAAAATATATGAGAAGTTTTAAAGAATGGTGTAAAGAAAAGTGATGGTGAACTGTCTTGCATTTCCCTTACAATGTTGCAAGAAGTAAAGTCTTACTTGCATATTAGGAAAGTTTGGGGCAGATAATATGTGCAGTGTTGATGGAATATGAACCAACTCTTTCATGAGACATTGTACAGTACTCTGGATATGTTTTTAATGAGTGATATGTGTATATGTGGCCTTAGAATAGGGAGCCTTAAGATTGGGTCATTTTCTTCATTTTAGGTGCAAGGTGCTCTGTCTTAATGCTAAACCTACACAGTTTCTGCAGGGTATGCACAGTTTTAGCCTGTAGCTCAAAATGCAAGAGCAAGCACTGATTTCTCTTTATTTGGAGAAATATGCTGGAGATACCCACATTTTATGGATTGTTGAAAAGTGCTTATCAAAAGACACAGAGTTAAACTGTGATTTTTTTTTTCTTGCCCCAGAGTTTCCATGAGAAAGGTGACTAATCGGTAATGCTTGTTGTAAAACTTACTTGTTATGTTTGGCATCTGCTGCCACTGAATGGTACCAGGAAGTCTGGATCTGTTGTTTTTCCTCCTTCATCCACACTCCACATATTTTTCTCAGTTTTATTTATATCTAAAAAGAAGCCACAGGGGATTTTTTTAAAAGGGAAGCATCCAGATGAAACAAGTGTTCCAGTTCACGTGAAGCAAATAGTAATCCTGAAACATAAACCAAAATCACTTAGATCATTCTGTCACAATATAAATCCTGTACAGTATTTTCTTAAGAATTCTTTAAAGAATGATCTTGTCTCTCACATTTGTTCAACATGATCAGTTACTTTTGTCAGTTAGGTATCTGTCTCTGATAACATTCTCCCTTATCATGGGATTGTAGGAGATGGGGCTGGAAAGGACCACAAGAAACTTCTGGTTCATCACACTGCCTTATGTTCACCTATCTATCTCCTATCTGACCATATGTACAGATCAATTTTTAAAACTTACAAATTTTTGGTTTTAATTCTGATTACTAAAGAAGACTGATATGAAAATGTAAAGTAGAGAGAAAAGTCCTCAACAGCACCTGGGACAATATGGTGATCCTCCCTGCCTGCCTTCCAACATTTTGCTCTGTCAAATGTGTATTTTGTTTTCCTTTTGCTCCTTATGCTATTTTACAGGAGTTTTTTTTTTTTCCCTAGAATTGTTGTTTTCTACCTTCTGTCTTTCCTTCACCCTTATTTTCTGTTATTTTCACAGAAGATGGTAAAAAGAGAACTCAGTGAAATGACTTGCTATAGAAGATCTGTCAGAAATACAGTATCTTTTCAGTGAAGAAAATGGAAATGCAATAATCACAGAAATGATGCTGGTAAGTGTTGATAATCATTTTGAGACATTCCCAGTCCATTTTTCCCTACTCTGATTGAATTTATCTTGTGGTCTGGACATGCTGTGCAAGGACACAGTGATTATCCAGTGCTGTGTCCTAGCAGCACATTCCCTTCCTCACTTCTTTGGCAGCTACTTGTGGTCTCCTCTGGACATCAGATTCCCTTCTCTACTCATTCAAGATAAATCTGATGCCAGTAGCATGACTGAAAGCCAGGCTAAAAGTGTTGGCTGACCTCCTACCCATGTACTTATAGGAATGTAATGTGTTGGAAAAAAAATTTAGGGAAAAATCCAGCCTGTTTCTTTGAAGGTTCTTATACTAATCATACCATTCTACACTCCATGATGATGCAGTGTGGGCCACTCATGATTTATCAGAACTGTTTAGTTATGCTGAATTTGGATTTCAATAACATAAATTTTTGCAGAGTTTTTTACAATCAACTTTCAACCTCCTTTGTGATTCTTCTTCCCTCCTTTCTTTCTTTCAGTAAATGTTGCTATATCTTCATTGTTCTGCAACCAGTGCCATTGTGAAATTTGGGAAGAGCTAGGAAAACCAGTAACACCCTCTGTTACAGCTGGACTGATGTCCATTCAAGTGCTGCTCTGCAATGGATACTCAATGCTAGCAGCTGAATTGTGAAACTCTAGTTTATAAATTATGATTAAAAAGAAAAAGAACAAAAAAAACCAAACCTGTGTACAAAGAGGGAATGTTAAGCACTGGGTTTTTATAGTATAAGTCAATAGGCTTGGACCTTTTTGTTTAACCTTATACTCCATTTGCAAGAAAAAGAATTAAAAAATTGAAAGGTCTGTTGAATTTCTGAATGCCAGATAGCAAAGACCTCTTCGCCCTGAAAATAGAGAAGAAAAGAGATCTTAATGTATGTGCAGTGAGTTGTAATATGACATTTTCTTGTATAAATTGAGGCAGTATATTGATTCACAGTTGTTGCTGTTGACTGAGCATTTTTTTGGTGGGGACTGTCCATTTCAGTGTGGAGTCTGGGAAACACCCTCAAAATATTGAAAGTTATGCCAGGTGCATTTCTTTTCTGTGGAAAGATAAATGAACAGCAGCAACACAATACTCCAATAGTACCAGCAAAAAATCACATAGATCCCTGAAGATTTCTTTTTTGTAAAAAAAAAATGTATTTCCATGATTAAAAAATTCACAGAAAGTCAATTTATATGCAGAGCTTCCATTTGTTTTGGAACTGTTAGCCAGCTTTGATGCTGGAAAAGGATTCTTACCAGCTTTCTCTGTCTTCACAGCATACATTCCAGAAGGTCTACTATGTATGAGCTGAAACAGAGATGAAGAGAAGTCTAAGGCTTCACTGATGAAAATGATAATCTGGTTCACCAGAAAGCAGCTAGAAATAGAATTTTTATTAAGTTTTTCTCTAAGAAGCAATCTAGGAGTTGACATGGACTGCAGAACATTTAGACCAGCAGTACCTGTGAATTTAGTTTGTTGATAAAAAAGTTCAGTTTGGAGATCAGCTCCATCATTTTCTCATTTACTACCATAGGAAAGTAGATAAATTTGACACATTTTATGCTGTGCAAATAGTAAAAATCTCAAAGACTTCCTTAACTGATGGCCTAAAAGCTATGAAGAAAACTCTTACATGATAATTCCCAGAATAAAGGGAAGTCCAAAAACTAATGTCAGATTTGGGTTTCATGGGCTGATTTTCCCCAGCCATACTATACCAATTTAAATTTGTTTTTCCAGCTCCTTGAGCATAATATCTCTTTGCATGACTAAGTGTCATGAAATACAGAAGGGACTCAGGAGAAACCTATAGGCTGAGTTCTGCCGTATCCGCCATGTGTTGCCTGAGAGGCACCTGAGAGGCTGGATTCCAGCTCAGTGGAGTATTCAGAAGGGCTTGGATGGCTCTACTAGCACTGAAGACTGTTTCCTTTTGCTCTTGTAAAACCATCATAAGGTGATATTGTTTATCAGCATCCCAAGTGCCTGGGAGTAAGTGTTGCGAAGATTTGGGCCGTACACAACATTTTTCTTACCTTGTATACCTTTGCCTTCTGTGGCTGTATTCAAGACTTTTAGTACTTTCTATAGATTTTTTTTCTTTTTTCATCAGAGAATATCCTAAATCCTTCTCCTACCCTTTGATTTATAAAAGTATAACAGAGGTGAATCTTTTGCTCTCATTTCATTTATGATGAAAAATTCTTCATCTGCATTTTGCACTATGTATTTTTTTTTAAAGGCCTCTCTCCAAGCAAGAGATCAAGCAAGCACTTGTAAAATACATTGATGATCTATAAAACACAAAGAGAAAAGTGTAACAAATGGAGAAGATCTGATTAGCCAAAATGAAATAATGCATGGTTTTCCAGGGAAAATAATAGTGAGCACTGTCTGTAAATAGTATAGTATTTAGTATACTAAATACTATATATATATAGTAATTAGGAGAAATAAAAAAAAAAAAAAAAAAAATTACAGTATAGCTGAAACTAAGGGATATTTGCCACTGGAGTACTTACAGCTTACTGAATGAATACACATTCTGATCATCAGCTATTATGTGCATTAAGAGTTAGTGACTTCCTGCAAGTAAACCCATTAAAAAATGAATCCATGTTTACAGCATATATATTTTATAAGAACAGATCTCTTAACTGTCTCACGTATGCAATGTGTGCTATGGATTAAAAAAAAGCAGTGCATACATGCTGGTTTATGGCACAAGGCTTGAAAGCAGCACATTTGTCATGTCAATAGATGGTCACCAGCCAAAATTTGCCCATATCCTCTTATCAACAATATACTTATCCTGGTTGTCTAGAGTTCAACAAAATCAGTCAAGTTTCCAGGGAGTATGGCACAATTTGTATGCCATGAGAAGGCTCAAAGGGAACTTGTGTGCAGTGAAAGGAGGTGAATGTATACTTTTAAACTTCCTAAGACATTCAAGCCTTTGAGCCTTTTAATGTCAAGAAAGTACCCTAATTACTTAAACAAAAGGACCTGCCGATAAGAGAAGAGCTCAGACATTGGGTAGCATCTAAAACATGGGGCTGCCTAACAAGGTTAATATTTTTTTACATGTGCTCTGTCTTACCCTGTATAAATATCTTATCTGTAGTAATGTTGTTTGTCACAAAACTAATGAACCTGTTAAAACTCAGGAAAACCATGTGATACATGGAACTGCACAGTCATATTTAATAAAGCCTGTAGATTCCAATAATGAGAAACTCAGACTGATGCACTAAGATGTTCCCAAAATGCTATCTGAAAAAATCCTCAACACTATTTTTCTGCCAGATCAGGCTGATAAATGCCATGATGCATCATGCAAGGGCAAGCAGCATTTGGAGCAGCTCTGAGAGACATCCTGGTGGTCTCCCCTTCTACTCTGGGCAAGCACAGGCAAGGTCAGCAAGGTCCCTATGGTGTCTGGAGACCACTGACATGCTGCATAGTGCTCTGGACATATTCAGCAGGACGCAGTTGAGTTGGGTCAGTGTAAACACCTGCACTCTATCTGACCTGCTAACTTCTGAAGAGGAATTTCTCCTAATTGGTGTCTATAAAGAAAACTAATGCTAGGCGGGGGGGAAAAAACACATATTGGTCAGATAGTGGGTAAGAACCTCAGTCTGACCCAGCTGTGTCTTGTCTGTGACAAAGAAAAGTGAAATGAATTGCAAGGTCATTGCACCCTCCCTGTATCAGACTGTCTTTCATACTCAATAAATGATGTGTGATTACAGTAAGCAGCTACCTTTGAGGGAGTATATTTTGGCAAAGCCTCTCCCCTCTCTCTTCAGCACTGGTACTATGGCTTTGTGCCATGGTATCCTCCTACCTGTCAAAATACTTCAGTCTGAATGCACTGACTGCTACCAAGTGAGGAGTAAACCTGGTGTAAGGCAGTCACTGCTAGAACGCTCACAGTGGTGAAGTTGCTGGGCAGAGAGGTCGCTCCACCCTTCCTCACAGGGGTCATTCTGATATCTTTAGGACATCCTTCTCAAACACGGGGAGTGGTGGTTTAGGAGCTAACAGGTTATTTTGTCTAGGTCTCTGGTTCATGGAGAATACAGCAAAGTGATTGTCACCTTTATTTTTCCATTTTTCCCAGTCCGAAATGACTCAGTCAGGGTATAGAGGGTTTTTGTCCATTTGTTTTGTTTCTCTTTTTTTTTTTGGCTTTGGGTCTGCTTTTTTTCATAGGGGGATGATTTTTTTGTTATGTTTTAGTTTAGGTTTTTTGTACCTAAGGGTTGATTTTTCTCACTGCTTTCTCTCAAAAGCTCAACACT